CCCCTGTGGTCCGTTGCCAAAGGCCGCAAGACAGAATTTACTGGAAAAGTAAACTTAATGCTTTTGCCTTAACAGTGTCCTTTTATCGTGAATTTGAAGACGTCAGGGCCTAAGCCACTGGTAAACACGTTTCATTCCAGTTTTTTAACTTGCTGTATCTGCGGTATATCTTCTTAGTGTCGGATTTTAAAGCTTGTTTGAGTAGCCGAGCATGCTGTAAGGAGGAAATTGTGTGATATACTTTGACATATCTTTTGGTAAAGGAATCAGAGACGAACAGGTCAGCGTTCTAGACCCCAGGTTTCTTTCATTGTATATATTCGATACTAGAAACTGAAACTCATGCCTTAAGTCTTCACACTTAAGGAGAGGTTTGTAGACTTGAAAATAGCGCTACGTCAACTACCACTCCACAAGGACGCCCTGCCTGGGTCGCGTTTCCCCAATTACTTTGCAATATTTTCTTAGTTGCGTGTGCTAATGTAAGTTTTTAATGCTGGTTAGCCTGTGCAAGCATTTGAAAAGGGGGAGACAGTGTTTAGAGCGAATTGCTTACCTAACATCCTTGAGAAAGAGTTACAGCTTAACCCTTTCTACGGATTCTCCTATCCCCTCAACGGCCTTTCCATCGGAGTCTTACTAGGTAGTACCCAAGTAAGATTCAGAGCCACCCTTCCCCCAAATATACATATGAAATAACGTGATTTTTTTATTGATTCTTCACTCAAAACAAAAAACGCTTCCGAGATCATTTATCCAGGTTGTCCAAAGTTTAAAACCTACTCAGTGTTCGTGTGTACTGGCAGGGTGTATGATTTTGATGTTTTCCAAATTCCTTAATAGTCATTGCTTTTATCACACGCGCAGGTGTCCGCAAAACTGACTTCCACTTTACACTTTTAAATCAAGTACTGTTGGCAGCCAGACTATGCAACCTTCCAGTTGTTGTATAATTGAACAAATAACTTTGGAAACATCCAAGAAATGTATAAACAATTTTGTTTTCTGTTCGAAGGATGGTGTTCGTTGTCACGCAACACCACTCCTTGTCTTCTCACACTTCCTCCCTGTATGTTGTAACTGATTCTATTAAGTGGTAAGAACATCTTTCAAATCGCCGAAAATGTCTTAAAAACATATTTTTCTCGTGAAATATTTTGTTCAACCACCTGAAGAATTTAGATCATAACGCTCATTCGGTTTGAGTGACATTTTAATAACCTGGCCCATCTCCAATGACCTCTCGTTAGAGGTCAAATTACAAAATGCCTTAGCGCCAGCAGAATTTTGGAGCTCGAGAGTAGAAAAAGTAAAACAAGTGCCCAAAACTATAAAGGTAAGTTAATTTCTATTGCATGTTAGCAAATTAACTATCGTAATATAAAGATACATCAGGTTTCTTCTCAAGAAATGCCAATGATCCCTTTCGGCAACAGCAAGCCATTGGTGAATTATGCAAATGTGTCATATTTCATTCAAAATTTGGTCAAGTTCAGAAGGTTCGTCTGAAGCGCAAATTAAATTACCCAAGCCAGTTCTTACATATGTTTTAGTACAATGTTTAGCTAACTTATAGCTTGAGTTTCAGGAAAAACCAAGGTGTAGCACATGCCTAAAAATTAAATCGCAACTTTAGGTCTAAATTTAAACTTCGTTGAGTTGAAAAAGAACCAAAACTAAAATAAAATTGTTTACCTTCCACATTATCGTTAAGATAAGAATTAACCGCCACACTCGGGCTAAAACCCTTTATAAATTGATTTATCGGGGAATATTTTACCGCGCTTTCTTCCTTTTTTGCGTGCGAGTGAAGTTTTGAGACCGCCTCATTTTGCGCCAAATTTTGGTTGTTTTCAAGTCGCCGACCACGAAAATTGATTTTGTCGATTTTCTCCAAATCCAAGCGGCCTTTTGAAAAACAAACTACACCACGTTTAGTTACTGACTAATAAGTATGTATGGACAAGATATGAGCGAAATTTAATTTTTGACCGTGGCCGCCGGTTGCTCGATTTTTACAGACATTCGCTCTTAACATGAAATCTCTATTCATTAGACGCCTCCAGAACTTCATGATCACCTTATATAAGTTTCTGTTCTTTACGAATTATCCAGGTTATTTAAAAGATATGTTCACCGTACGGTCTTCATCCTACAATTTGCGCGGAAATCATATCCTGGCCCTTCCCAACCCAAAAACAACGACTTACGGTCCGCACTCTTTTTCATACTTAGCTAGAAAAATATGGAACTCTCTCCCAGACACTTACAAAACATTAAATTTTCTAGAATTCAAGCAGGAGATCCTCAGATATGAAGCTTTTCCACAGTAGATTTACAAGTTATATTTCCCTTCGCATGCATAATGTTGTATATCGTTTATAAATAATATTGAAATTGTAATATAGCATATTTTATTTTATTTTAACTTATTTTCTCCAATACATTAGCTCTACAGCTACTCTGTAAATTTCGAGCATAAATAAAGTATATGTATGTATGTATGTTTGACTTCAGGGCAATATAACAGCCCTTCGGTTCGTGGTCGTTTGTCTTTGTGCTACGATCACTGGATGAAATTAGGCGCTTCGGGGTTTATATTAAGCGTTGTTCGCCACGGTTATAAAATTCCGTTTGTGACTCTTCCGCCCCCTAAAGTTAGTCCTAACAATCACTCTCCTGTTACCCATAGTCATTTTGTTTCTGAGGCTATTTCCGACCTGTTAAGAACTAAGTGTGTTGAGATTCTGGATCACAAGCTGGATATCGTTAATCCACTTTCTGTCTCCATTCAGCCTTCAGGCAAGAAGAGATAAATTCTTGATTTGAGGCATGTTAATCTGTATGTTTTTAAGCGTAAATTTAGATGCGAAGATGTATTGGTTGCCCTTCAAATTTTCTCTCAAGGGTTTTTTGTTTTCAAGTTCGACTTGAAGTCCGGTTATCATCACGTTGAAATTTTCCCGATCACCGTAAATACTTAGCTTTCTGCTGGGATTTTGGCGATGGTATGGTGAAGTATTTTCAGTTCACAGTTTTACCTTTCGGGTTGTCTTCCGCACCGTATTTGTTCACAAAATTATTAAAGCCTATTCTTACTTCATGGGGGTGCAAAGGAATTCCCATGGCTTTTTTCTCGATGACGGCTTAGGGGGTGGTAGCAATTCTTATCAAGGCCAAAATCAACAGTTTGACTGTTCGCGCTGATTTGACTAGGTACGGCTTTGTTATTAACGAAGAGAAGCCCCTTTGGGAGCCTGTTCAAGTTATTACCTGGCTCGGCACTGTTTTTGATACTTATCAAGGATTTATTTCGGTTACCGAGCGAAGGGTTTCAAAGCTAAAGAGTAGCATTGATCTCTTACGTACGGATGACTCAAGGTAAAATTTTCAAAGTTAGAGATGTAGCCTCTGTGGTAGGCCAAGTCATCTTGCTCACTCCTTGTGTTGGAAGTGTAGCCAGAATTATGACACGTGCTTTGTACACAGTTGGAAATCAGAAACAGTCATGGAACTCTAAGGTTGAGTTGACTAAAGAAGCTGGTGATGAATTAACGTTTTGGATAGACAACGTCGACTCTCTTAATTTTCGTTGCCCCTGGTTGCCTTTTCAACCGCCCGCTAGATTTGTCTATTCTGACGAATCAGATTACGCTTGTAGTTCTTTTATTGAAAACGAGCATAAGATTTTTCATCAAAATTGGAGTGCTACAGAGGGTTCTCAAAGGTCTACTTGGAGAGAGCTTAGGACTGTAGACCTGGCACTTACCGCCTTTGCTCCTGATCTTCAGGCTAAAAAAGTTGCTTGGTTTACTGACAACACTAGTGTAGTAAGCATCGTTCATAACGGTAGTAGGGTTAAGGAGCTTCAGTCTCTAGCGCTTTCTATTTTTGATGTTTGCGCGAGTTCAGGCATTTCCCTTGAAATGAAGTGGATCCCTAGGGATTCTAATCACCAGGCTGATTCTTTGAGTAGAATAATTGATTTTGACGATTACTCTATTAATGATGACGTTTTCATATGTTGGATTGTAAATGGGGGCCCCACACAGTGGATAGGTTTGCCTGTAGTTACAACGCCAAGCTTTCGCGCTTTAATTCTAGATTTTACCAACCCGGCGTTGAAGCTGTGGACGCTTTCGCCCAGAACTGGGAGGGAGAAAATAATTGGGTCCATCCACCGGGTATCGCAAATTAGTAGAGTTATTACCCATATGAGAGCGTGTAAGGCTGTAGGAACTTTACTTATTCCTTTGTGGAAGTCTTCCTATTTTTGGATTTTACTATGTGATGATGGTAAACACTGGAACGCTTTTGTACACGATTGGGTGATTCTTCCCAAGTTCGGGCATCTTTTTATTAGAGGTAAAGCCAAAAATCACGTTTTTGGCTCAAAGGATTTGTCCTTTAGTGTAG